CGCAAAATTTAGGTTCGACTTGCAGCCGGAGAATCGACCTACAGACCAGAAAAAAAACCAAAATGGAACAAAAAGGGCTGGTTACGGATTAATCGGTTTCCAGTGCATTGTAGGTTAATGGAGACTCGACCTACAGACTTTTCGACCTGTAGTCACCGTTCCAATACGGATTAATTCCGTAAGTAGAGGGTCCACTGTACTCGAGTTGTTAAGTTACAGTGCACTCCATTCATCCCTAGAAGGATCCACTAATAGCAGGAAAGCTATCCAGAGATAGTTCAGACTCGATTTCATCTAGGATCTATTTATTATTTATTTATTTATTTATTTAACTTATATGCCGCCCACACTACCCGAAGGTCTCTGGTTTGTTTTTCCAATAGTCGAGGACATCCATAAAGTTCTCCTCCAGCAAGACATTTCAAACAAATTAATTTTTTCCCTGTCTGCAGTCTTAAATGTCCAGCTTTCACACCCATAAATGGTGATTGGAAATACAAGTGTGGATGGTCTAGGTCTCTAGTGACCACATCCTTATACAGTACTTGATTATCTTTTCTATATCCTTCACTGCTGCCCTTCTGAGCCTTGGTCTTCTTCTGATTTCGTGGCTACATCTCTGTTTGAATTGATGACTGAACCAAGGTATAAAAAAATCTCAGACTGTAACCCATCCCAGTTTCACATGAAAAGATCAATTTCTACATTTCTCAGACTGTAACCCATCCGTTTCACATGAAAAGATCAATTTCTACATTGGCATGACTAAGATATAAAACATGTCCAACTTTTCTTTAAAAAGACTGTGGGAATAATTTCTACCTCCTTCAAGAATTCTTGAAGAAACAGGAGAGACTGTACTTCTACCCCATCTAGCCATTTTAGGGAAGGAAGGCTTTCCTGCCTTTTCAAGCAAACAAAGTAATTTTTCAATTCAGTGAACAGAGGAAACATCCTGCCAAGAAACTGATGGGGCACCAGAGTCAGTGAGGAGTGGGGTGGGGTTCTTTCTTTTCTCCAGCTGATTTTTCTTCCCCTCCTCAGCACAACAATAAGGCAAAAACACCTCATCTATTTGAACGTGGGAGGGGGGATTCTGTGCTTGTGCCCGCCCTCTGAGATGTCTCAACTCATGCTATGTGTGGGGAAGGATATTTACTTTCTCCTCTCTGTGTGGGTATGTAAACACATCTTCCTTCTACTCATTTTTTCTTTCTTTTGTTCATGAATTCCTCCATTTCTTGGGGTTTGGCTTTCTTTCTGTCTCAACTGTTCTCCTTCCCATCTTACATTCTCTATTCTCCCATTGTTTTACAGCCATCATTTTCTGTATATATACACGTGTGTAAGAGAGAAAGAGGGACAGAAAAAAACTAAAAGGACAGAAAAAGAGGCACTGCTTTCACCACGTCTCGGCTGGGACCATCAACAACAAACACCATTTACTATACAACCAAACAGGGTGTTACAGACAGCCTCAAAAACAACCACAACATAGTCTTCAAAGAAGCAGATAAGGGCGGCACTGTGATTGTCGCAAACAAAGCAAGCTGCACACAAGAAGCTGAGAGACAATTTTCCAACTTTATATTTTAACAGCCCCTAACCTCAGACTTAATGACCAAAAATCTAAAGGAATTACAAAATTTCTTATGAAAAACTTCTCTGAAAACATATGTGAATAGGGTGAATGCACTGATCATCTCCTGGATTGACTATTGCAATGCTATCTATGTGGGGCTTCCCTTGAGGCTAACCTGGAGATTACAGCAGGTCCAGAACGCAAGGGCCAGACTGGTGTGCACAAATTTGAACACATCACTGCAGTTCTGGCTCATTTCCACTGGCTAACTATTGTGTCCCAGATCAGATTTAAGGTTTTGATGGTCACATAGAAAGCCTTACATTGGTTTGGGAGCACACTACCTGTCGGAACTTATTTTTTTAAATTTAATCTGCCTGACCCAGCAGGGCTTTCCAGACTAGAACCCATGAGATATTGGGCCTTGTTCACAGTGGTTCCAACTTTGTAGAACCAGCTCCTGGCAGCCCCCTTCTTGCTAATATTCAGAAGGCAACTTAAAATGTTGCCATTCAGGGAGGCTTTCCTCACCAACTCTATTTGATTTCAATCTTACACTCCTTGTTCTGCCATCATTTAGATACAGTGGTGCCCCACTTGACGATGATAATGTGTTCCAGCAAAACCGCTGTTAAGCGAAATCGTCATCAAGTGGGGAAAAAAACCCCATTGGAATGCATTGAAAACCAGTCAATGCGGTCCAATGGGGGGAATACCTCATCGTCCAGCGAAGATCCTCCATAGGGCGGCCATTTTCGATCCCTGTCTTGCAAAGAATCGGTCCGTAAAATAGCAGGGAGCCATTTTGCGAACCGCCAATAAGCTGTTTCTAATCGTCGTAAGCGAAAAAACAATTCCCGAAGCAAGGGACCAAATCATCATTAAACGAAAATCACCCATTGGAACCATCGTTTTGCAATCACTATAGCGATCGCAAAAAGGCTGCAATCTCCAGTAATTTCATTGTCAAGCGGGATCATCGTCAAGCGGGACACCACTGTAATTGTTCTTGGTGCCATTTTTTTATTTATATATTTATTTTTGTTAAATTATTATTTAGTACTGTATGTTTTAACAACTGCTGTAAACCGCCCAGAAGAGTGTTCTGCATTAATGTGGTAGCATATAAATCAAATCAATCAAACAAACAAACTTCACAACTGCAAACAAGGCACTAGGTAGGAAGGGGATGGAGAGCCATATTCTATAGCAACAAAAATTGAGGAAACATGTTACATACTGCACAAAAGTAAAGAAGCAGGGGCATGTTTTTGTGCTACAAAGGAAACACTGTTGAAGGGTTATTTATCTTGCAAGTTTTAAGATCTTGGAGAGAGGCAAGGGCTCGATTTCAAAACATAATGTGGCTAGGTTACACACACACACACACACACACACAGAGAGAGAGAGAGAGATTCCTGGGGAAGTGAACACTGCCATTCCTGTGTGGAGGAGAATTCGCCATGTTTAAGGACAGCCCTGCTTCCTCCACCACCACCCCCAAAAACAGAGCCCCGATCTTCCTCCCCACCTACTGACGCTTTACAAAACGTAACAATGAAGATCCACAACAAAGCCCATGTGAAGCAAAAGCACTGCAACTCGGATTCACTACTTTCGGGTTACGAACCCATTTCGTAAAACAAATGGGGAAAGGGGGATGGAGGGGGACAACCAAGCGGAGGGTGGCCTTCCAGATGTGCCCCACGTGGATGAATGGGAGAGTTTATGAGCTGATCCTCCATCATCCAACCATTTCGCTTCCCCAGCCTCTCCCCTTCGCTGGGGCCCGTTGACAAACACGCAAAAGATCGGATAAATCTCAATTTAAAAGGAACACGTGTGTGTGTGTGTGTGTGTGTGTGTGTGTGTGTGTGTGTGTGTGTGTGTGTGTGTGTGTGTGTGTGTGTGTGAGAGAGAGAGAGAGAGAGAGAGAGAGACCTATTTCAAGGTAACGAGTTACGATGAGGGGAACGCAAGTGGGGGGCCCATAAGGAAGAGGGGAAGGGATTCTCCACACCAGCGCCCAGCCCAGCCCAGCCCCTGCGCGTCTCTCACCCTCGCACTTTTGCTCCATGAACTCCAGGATGGGGATGGACCAGGCGGGGCTGCGGAGGAAGCCGGCGATGCCGTCTACCACCCACTCCACTTCAGCCTCCGCCTCCCCCTCGGCCGCCATCTCATCTCCCCTGCCCTGCCTTCGCTCCCTCACGAACACCGGGTGCCCGGGCTCGGGGGCCAACCAAGAGCGAGCATGCGCGAACCCAAGGAAAGGAGGGGGGGCAGCCCCGAGAGAACCCCGGGGGCAACGGTTAAGAGAGGAAGGGAAACCGCTTGAAGTTCCGGTCGCTAAGGCAACCGGCGTCACAGAAGGCAACCGAGAGGACGCGCCGCGCAGGCGCCGAGCCACGCCCCGCCCCCTTCTTCCGCTCCCTGTATTCGAGAGCCAAGCTCTCCCCGCCTGGGAAAGGAAGGCGCGCGTGCGCATGACCCAATTGGGGAGGGGGAGAGCCTCTTCGCTCCGTTGGCCGTTGAACAAGGCACGTGGTCAGCCGCCAGAGTGGGGCGCGCGAGGTCCGTAGAAGCCCTAGAGCGCCGGCTAAGTCACGTGGGCGGAGTAACGCTCTTCTGCGGCTGCGCTGCTCTTGGACGTTGTTCTTTTCGCCTCTCTCTGAGGAGCTCCTAGAATGCGCGGAGGACCTCATGGCCGACCCTAGCATTAGAATGGGCTGGGTGTCTTGCTTGTTTATTTAAAATATTTTTACCCCGCCTTTCTCCTTGAAAAGGACCATTAGGGAGCTAATCCTGAGAATGGGGAAAGAACTGATTTACAGTAATTAGTTCGGAAAGAACAAGGAAAAGGGTGTGTGGTTCTGGAATTTTACCCAAATGTAATGGTAGTCCACCTTTTATTGGACCATTTAAAAAATTAAAACAAATTGCAAGCTTTCATGGAAAAAATCCTATTTTTTTCAGGGTTAGCACAACCCTTTTATGGATAGTGGAGAAGAATTGTACACAAGAGTCCAAAAATTTGTGGTACAGTACATTGTATGTGAGAATTGATGTCACTCCTTTGAGGCTAAGGTCTCAAGCCTCTACAGCATAGTTTAGCATTTTGTAAAATAGTGTGTAAAAATTCCAAACCATGCTGCAAAAAGGCTTGACGACGCAGCCTTCATAAAAGTTATTTTATCCCAATTTTTCACTTTATGTCTATATCACAGTTTACACAGTAATAAAGTGTCCTAGATCCACATATTGTTCCACTTGGCCTGTATACAGTATTAGTTGTTGCACATAATACAGAAGTTGTATTGATATTATACCATTAAAATTCTTAAACCCAAGAAGTATGTCTATCAGGACTGGTTTGATGAGAAAACTGCAAAATCTTTTAAACAAAGACATCAGTTACATAAAGCATATCAACTCAGCGAATAAACTGCCAATAAAGCTGCTTTCTAGAAAATTTGTCCTAAGGTGCAGTCCAAACTGAGAGATGCACAACTCCTAGCTCAGCAAGAAGGCAAGAGGAGCTTTGGAACTGTGCTGATCGTGGAGAAACTAATTCTTTGAAACAGTCAAAACTATATTTGGTCCGAACCTGACGTGATCTCTAAAGCCAGCACTTCTTTCAGAACACTTTGATCTTCTGTGGAATCGATATGGAATAAATCTTTCTGTAAAGCTGAGGATGTACAAATATGTACTCTCTTCTTTATTGAGAGGAGACTTGGACTATCAATCCCATGCAATAAAATTCCAATCATTTTCATTTCATATGTCAATTAATTCTCAGTATCAAATGGCAGGATAAAATATATGCCACTGAAGCCTTGGAGCAAACACAGATCTGTCAAGCTTTAATAGACTGTCCTTGCTGTCAAGGTATCAGTTGAGTCTCTCAACTGATACCTTGGGGGGGGGGGG